ATCAAAATTAAAAATCATGTAGTGATAAAGAAAAGACAAGAATATATTTGATTTTGAGTGGTAAATATTTGAGGAAAAATTAGGAATTTCTGGACAAATAAGTACTTTTACAGCCTTTAAAAAAATCATTACTTGGCATTTATGACACTTCCTCTTGTGGGCCCATTTTACCATGAACAAGTGACACTATCGTTTTAGGCAAAATGTAATATAAGTTCAAAATCAATTACTGAATCCACTCACTGAAGCTGTTTTCCGTGGCAGATCTATAATGTTAGGACTGTATGCCTGACACATGACATTAAGATAGGTGGGCAAAGCAAGGGAGGTGTGTCCTCGCTCTGAAAAGGATCACTTAAAGATGATGACTGTAACCAGTCAACAAAGTCTTGCAAAACTGGATAAAAAGGACAAAAGGTACAAATTTGAAAGCACTGCACTTTGAAAGAAAAAGTGAAGGATCAAATTAATACAAACAAACAAACTATTCCTAGTTTGTTTATAGGGACTGGGATCTACTCACATTCAGCCAACAAGTTTGGTTCTACGAAAGGGATAAAGTTTGGTAATGTTTGACTTACCTGGAAGCTCAGAGAAATCTCTTCCTTCCTCCTCTTTTTGGTAGTAAATATCCAGACTCCATCAACTCACTTAGGGCCAGACAAAAGCTGCCTGGGGACTCTGTTAATACATTTGCCTTTTATTCTTTACCTGTTGATACCTGTTAGGTCTACTCTGTGAAATTTACACAAAAAGCACCCCTTCCTTTCAGAAGCTCCCAAAGACCCAGGATTTTACTGAGGAAAATTTATCTCCCAGGCCCTTGCTTTAGCTGTTGTTGGTCTCTTTCTGTGAAATGAACGAGAAAGGAATTTCATGTGAAGTAAGTAAAGGAGATAATTGATAGCCATTTCCAGATGGTTTCTCTTACAGTTTAAAGAGAACAATCAGTAATAGCCAATGCCAACCTTTGAGAGTCTTTGTAAGTTTCTAATGATCAGTGAACATTCCTAGTCTTGTTAGATGTAACATGTATTCAAATGTTAAGTACCACAATTGCCTAGAATATCTCCATCAGGTGGAAGAATAAAAAAAAATTGGGGAAAAAACTTATTCCCACATCTGAATATTGAGGAGGGGCAGACTGCTGTTCCTTTCTCTCCTGCTCTTCCCCCTCAATTATGATACACAGCAAGGAGTAAAACTCTTCCAGTGCAAATCATTGTGCTTCCTGTTTTAAGGGTGAGAGTAGAGGACAGCTTCCTATCTATCATTACTGTGTCCCACTACCCACTTCTAGTATCTTTCATATCACAGAAAATGAATGTATTCTTAAGTTATTAATCTGTGAAAGAAATACAATGAATTTCACTTCTCAACAGTCCAATCGGACCAGAACTTCAGTCCTCTATGTGTACAGACATATTCCTTTTTCCTTAATAAATAAACTGCCTCTTTATTTCTGCCATTTTTGAGATGGGCTCAATTAGCCCTTGGGATTAGAGCAAGATTCAGCTGTAGTTGGTTCATTCTCAGAACCTGGACCAGGATACATCACAAGTGCTGTCAATAAAAGACCACATGATCAAAAGTATGTTGATAATGAGCCAAGCATGGTGG